TATATTAGGCCATGCCTCTCTCTCTCTCTCTCTCTCTCTCTCTATAATGAGTGCATGGTGTTATTTAAAACCAGCAACACACATCTCAGAGGACCCTCAGGTCATGTGAGAGGCTGGACCACATCCAAAAACCTCTATCACGTCAGTATTTCAGTCAATTGAGATAAATCAATGGAATGTTATGGGTTTTTCCTGAAATAGAAATTGCTTTTGTATGCTTTTGAGGCTTCTAGCTAGACAAGAGTTTCTCTGGTTTTTGACTTACATAGTAGTTTTAAGGGTTGTTTTTACCATAAAAAATGGTTAAGGCCCTTTTGCTCTTGCTCTTCGTTTTCAAGCATAGTACATGGCACTAATGCCTTGTCTACTAGAGTTGCATATGGTTATGCTTTTCGTCTTTCCAAGATAGGTTGTACTTTGTGTCATATTTCGTGGTGGTTTGTTCCTTTGCTATGTTTGGAGGCATTTATTGTTTCACAGTGGCTACTTGAAAGAAATATATCTTGTTAGTCATTGATTAAGAAAAGTAACTTGTTAGTTAATAGTGGTCCCATTGTTTGAGTGTTATGCTACTTGGTTTAAGGTTTGTTTATTGTTTATGTAAGGCTGCATTGGAGGGCATAAGATTGGTGTTTGTGGGTGCTATATAATTGTGTCGTTTCTATTCAAAGGTATGGAGCCAAACTCCTCTTGCGCAAGTACTAGTGTTACAAGTGGTACTATAGCAGCTAAGGGAAAAACTATTAGAAAAATTCGACAGTGGACCCCCGAGGCGGACTCTCACTTCATTGAGCTCTTAGTACCAGAGGTCATGAGAGGTGGGGCCTTGCGGAAGGATGCATGGACTCGAATGTCAGAGGTGACGAGAAAGAAGTTTGGTGACTTGTATGATGTAGATAGACTCAAGAGTAAAAGAAGTGGTACTTGGAGTGTTACAAGGAAGTAGCTAAACTTCTTGAACAATCAGGCTAGAGTTATGATGAGACTACCGGAATGGTTCAAGCAGAACCTGCGTTATGGTCCCAATTTATAGCAGTGAGTAAAGTAAAGTGGCCTTGTTGTTGAATGTATTTCTATATGCTTGTGTATGTATTGATGTAATGCCACACCAACATGAATATTTGCGATCTACTTACAGGCTAATGATTAGGCAAAGAAGTACCATAAGAAGGCTGTGCCCGAATACTTCAACGATTTGGATAAGATATTCGGCGAAGGCATTGCTATTGGTGTGTTTTCCAGAGCTGGAGGTGAGCTTACTTCAAAAAGAGGTAGCCTCAAAGAGCGCTCCCAAGGGACTAACATGGATGGTGTCGGCACACCACCAACTGATGCCACCACATGAGTGCTGCAAGAAGTGTTGGATATTGAGGAGGACTCTAGCTTATCCTCTTTTGATGGTGCATTGTCCTCTGGGTCAAAGAGGAGTCGCTTGCATACTCCGACGGGCACGCATAAAAGAAAAAAGCAATCTACGACCAATGAGGTCTTGACAGAAGCTATGACCATGATGATAGTTACCTTCAAGGACTGGACGAGTAGCAAGACTAAGGAGGATCCTCAATTGGTTGCTGATGAACGGAAAAAAGCAATCTACGACCAATGAGATCATGACAGAAGCTATGACCATGATGATGTCTACCTTCAAGGACTGGACGAGTAGGTAGACCATCTGATGAACAAAGAGTGAAGCGTAAGGAGCAATGCACGCAGATGGCGGAAACTATGTTCAAGCGAGGCGAAATACTATTCAAGTCTTCTTAAAGTTAAAGCAAGTATTTCAAGATGTCGAGAATATCGATTTTTTATTGAGCATTGAAGACCTAGAACTCCACAAGACCTTTCTGGAGGATGAGTCGCGGCCCTTACTATGAGCTTGCACCATAATGCTTTATGGTTCAGAACAATTTTCTTTTTTTGTTTATGGACGGTAATTTATGGTTTAGAACAATTTTCTGTTTTTTTGTTTATGGACGGCGCTTTAAGGTTTAGAACAATTTCCTTGTTTAGTTTATGGACGGTTTTTTCTTTCAGTACTTTATGGATTACAATTATGTTGAGCTTTATAGATAGTTGATGGATGACAATTACTTTTTTATGGATGGTTTATGTATGACAATAACTTTCTTTATGGATGGTTTTTAGATGACAATTACTTTGATTGCTTTATTGATGGTTTATGGATGGCAATTGCTTTAAGTGCTTTACAGATGGTTTATGTAAATTCTTTGTTAAGTTATGGATGGTTGTATCATGCATGATGAAAAATTCTTTATGTGCTTCATTGATGGTTGCTTTAAGGCCATAATGGTTGCTACCATATGTGATCTCTCAAAGTTTGTAAATACATTTGTTTCATTATTTCGTTTGCTATTAGAATAATCTTGAACGAAAGATAACACTATTTCATGTAGCTATGGAACCCCAAGACGAAGAGTACCGTGTGATATTTACCACCCTATTTGTAATGTTGTACGTGACTTATTGGTATATGAATAACCAAGTGAGCCGGCGGCGGTTACATACCTCAATCCTAACAGGGGTAAGGGTCGAGTACTTGCTAACGGGGCATCCTCGAAAGTGCTTCGACAAGTTGCAAATGGAGAAGGTTGCTGTTATTGATCTATGTAATATTTTAAAGCAGAGGTCGCTTATTACGGACACTAGACACTTGTCGGTTGAGGAGCAAGTAGCAATATTCTTAAGCACCCTAACACATGATCAGCAAGATAAGGTGGTCCAAGAATGCTTCCAACACTCTGGTCAAACTATAAGTTTCTACTTCAATAGAGTATTATTGGCGGTCAATCAATTGGAATCCTTATTCCTATAACCTGCGAGCAATGAAACACCTACACACATTGCAAATGACTAGGAGAGATCTTATCCATATTTCTAGGTAATCTAATATTGAGTCATTCATAAGTAGGTACAAACATATAGAATGCTTCTTATAATGCTACTTTTCATTGGATTTCTTAGAGGATTGCGTAGGAGCTATTGGCGGGACGTATATCCCGGCGCGCGTTAGGAGTATCTTGCATAAACTCTTTTGAAATAGGAAAGGTTTCATAAGCCAAAATGTTATGGCTGCAATTGGGTCTGACATGCGGTTCCAGTACGTACTTGCTGGATGGGAGGGTTCTGCGTCTGACTCTATAAGTTTTGTATAATGCGATTAGCAGGCAAGATCTTCGGTTGGCCCTTCCTGAAGGTGAGGCTATGTTTATTGCCCATTGAAACAATGGTATTCACTTTCCACTATACCTTACTTATTTCCTAAATATGAAACATGAAAATATTACCTCGTGGACGGGGGCTACCTTACAATGCATGGTTTCTTGGGACCTTATTGGAGTGTCTGTTACCCTTTGAGTGATTTTGCAATGGGTTCCAATCTCCTCAAAATGAGGAGTTATTCAATAGATGACACTCAACTCTAAGAAGTGTGGTGGAAAGAACATTTGGGCTGTGGAAGGCGAGATTTCCTATTTTGAGGAACCAAATGTAGTACTCGTTTAGCACACAAGTCAACATTGTTATCACGACGTAGATTTTGCATAACTACGTCATGTTGTCACGAGGATCGAATACTAGACAGGATATGAAATTCCGATAGAGGGTTGAAAGAGAACAAACAGAGGGGGCAGAAGATAGGTGTACACAAGCAACTCAAGGACAAAACGACCTTGATGACAGTGTTGAACTTCGAGATGCAATTGCATCTCAACTGTGGCAAGCATATGTGACCATATGTGAATCGTTAGGTTTCTTTGTTTCTATGGACATGTAATAGTGAAGGTTTGTCGAATTGCAGTTATTTGACCTTGTATGTTCTATAGACTTGGAATTCAGTTATTTGACCTTGTATGTTCTTTTATATGGCTTATGCGCTTTTCTTATCAATGATGCCCAATATGCATCATGTTTAAGTAATTGTGCTACATTTAGTGCATGGAAATTGTAAACTACTGGTGCGCCATTCGTTTTTGAGAACTGTATGTTGTGGCAGCTTTCCCACTTCAAAATCCTCTATTCAAGTTTGTGTGGCAGTAATCGTAACCTTTTGGTGAGAGGACCAACAAAACCTATTATAAAATGCCTCACTATTTGTGAGGACATGATATGTTGGCACGTGTGAGGATATGACATATTGGCATATATAACGTTGTCACATTGGAAAGTTTTGTTTTAGGTTGTCACCATAATCAGTTTAGTGGCATGATTACCGGGATCACCTACTTTGTTAGGCGATCTGTTCCGGAATGTTGATATTAATATCCCAGAAAGGGATCTTCTATGGATATTGTTTTTATGATTTCGGATCTCGATCCCTAGAACATAGGGATTGAGTTCCTTAGATTTAATATTGTGTGGACATCGAATTCCAGCCCCCTCAATGAGATTTTTCAGCTGATGAATGACAGGTAGATAGCCAGCCGTACTAGCATGCAACACCATGAGGGCACATGCAGCCCCATATAAGGACCTCGTACTGACTAGGCTATGGTACTATTCCTATCTAATTGGTGAACTCGACCCTATATCTAATGGGGGAGCTCGACTCCTAGAACACAGGGATCAAATTCATTAGATTTAATATTGTATGGACATCGATCCCTAACATAAGGAGCTTTCGGGGAACCTCAATCCATCGATCCTGCTCCTGATCCCAGACCTGTTCCCGATCCTGATCCCAACAACTATTTTAGTAATATTTTAGGAAGTTAACTTCCTTTGGTGACTTATGAAATATTTGTTTTATGAAGATTTTCAATGTATATTTTTTTCAATTCGTGTTAGTCCTTTGGGTTAAACTGTGCAATTTGTTTAATGTCTAGGTCATCATCTAGAGATCACCATTTTGAAGACTAAAAGATGTTACGAACTCCATTTCTATTTCTAGAGAGGATTATGTTAGTAAGTGTTTTACAAATTTTTCGCCCGCTTGAAAATTTTTCCAAGCTTACCATCTTCTCTGATTGTGAATTTGTCAATAGGGATCCAGGCTGAACTTTTACTGGGAACAATAGCTAGGAGGAAAAAAGAAGCTGGCCAAGGCTCCTGTGATGGTTATTTGGAAGATAGGGTTGCTTTCAGCGAGGACAGATTAATGGACTCTGATAATAAGGCAGTCATGATGGCTTGGGAGAAGCCGTTAATGGAAGCTCATGCTAAAGCTGTTTGTTGCGGAGGTGTTGATGGTGGTGCGGGCCAAATCTTGAATGTTGGATTTGGAATGGGACTTATTGACATGGCTATTCAACAATTCTCACCTCTATCCCACACTATAATTGAAGCTCACCCTGGTGTTTATGCAAGGATGCTTCACTCTGGGTGGGGAGAGAAACCAAATGTGAAGATCATATTCGGAAGATGGCAAGACGTTCTTCCTGAGCTTCAATCTTATGATGGTAATTTATTGCCCCCAAATCCTGGTAGAATGATAGAGTAATATTTCATCTTGCATATCTATCACTGCTTTTTCTTTGATAATTATTTTTGCCAACATTTTATAAAAGAGCATAGCTCATTAAGTCATTATTAGAAGTTGTGTGCCATTTTCTGTACTATACTTCTTTGAAATTCAGATAAGAAATTTATGGTTGCCTAGGCTTGCAACTTTAGGTGTAAATTCTTAGTTGAGTTTACTAATTAGAGATGTAATTGGAAATATTGGATAATATGGAATAGTGAAGAAATTTGAACAATGTAACATGCTACAGCTGTTTTGGGTGAGTTATAGAAATATACATCTGATATTTTAGGTCTCCTGGAGAAACTTTCTAAATAGAATTTGGTAATTGTCCAGAGTGATAAATGCCACCAGTCTGGTGTTTTGGTTTGAGCTCCTCGTGGTTAGAAAGTAACTTCTTGCTACCCATACCATGAATCATAGACCAACAAAGGTCTCTGAAATTAGCTTGATTTTCTGGATTGTTAACTGGAGAAATTGAGACAACTGAATTTTGCCATAAGGCCATTGGATCCCCAAGGATTTATAACAACACTCAATCTTTCAAATATAACTCCAATTTTGGTGACGTAGTACCTGCGCTTGTGAGGTACTATCGCATCTTTATGTCCACAAAATATCAGCCCAACTTTGTGTGTAATGATAATATCTGCAATAACATCATTTGCTATAAATATTAATCTAAGAATGAGAATTTCCTTAGGGGCCATTTGGATCCATGGAAAAAGATTACGTGGAAAAATCTATTTCCTTTGAAATGTATTTCTTGAGAAAAGTATTTCATGTAAAAATGGATTTATGATGTTTGGATGGTATATGGATGCATAATATTCTCCTTTTTTTTTGTCTATTGTTAAGTGCTTTTGATTGTATTATTATTTTCATGGCTTTTTTTTTTAATGTTCTATTATTAATTATAATGTTATTTTTTATTAAATTTGAGATAGTTTCTTTCTCTAAAAATTTTCAATTAGTTTCTCTCAAGAAAATTTTGATAAAGTTTCTCTCTCTAAAATTTTAACATATTTTTTCTCTCTAAAACTTAAAATTTGAGATAGTTTCTCTCTCTAAAAATTTTGAGATAGTTTCTCCCTTAAAATTTCAAGTACTTTCTCTCTAAAATCTTAAGATACTTTTCTCTCTAAACTTAAAATATAAGATAGTTTCTCTTTCTAAAAATTGTGAGACAGTTTCTCTCTCCAAAAAATTTAAGTAGTTTCTCTCTCTAAAATTTGATATAATTTCTCTCTTTCTCTAAAATTTAATATACTTTATATCTCTAAACCTGAAAATTTGAAATAGTTTCCCTCTCTTAAAATTTAGAGGTAGTTTCTCTCTGAAACTTAAAATTAGAGATACTTTCTCTCTAAAAGTTAAAATTAGAGATACTTTCTAAAACTTAAAATTAGAGATACTTTCTCTCTAAAACTTAAAATTAGAGATACTTTCTCTCTAAAATTTTGAGATAGTTCTCTCTCTAAAATTTTTGAGATATTTTCTCTCTCTAAAAAGTTTTAGGTACTTGCTCGCTCTAAAACTGAAAATTTGAGATTGTTTATTTAATATAGTTTCTCTTTCTCTAAAATTTTAAGATACTTTCTCTACAACTTAAAATTTGAGATAGCCTCTCTTTAAAAATTTTCAGGTAAATTTGTGATTTCTCTCTAAAAATTTTGAGATCGTTTCTTTTTCTAAAATTTTTGAGATAGTTTCTCTCTCTAAGACTTAAAATTTGAGATAGTTTCTCGCTTTAAAAATTGTGAGATTGTTTCTCTCTATAAATATTTTCAGGTGCTTTCTTTGTATAAAATTTAAAATTTGAGATAGTTTCTCTCTCTAAAATTTTGAGATTGTTTCTCTCTCTAAAATTTTGAGATTGTTTCTCTCTAAAACGTTTTAGGTACTTGCTCTCTCTAAAACTTAAAATTTGATATAGTTTCTCTCTTTAAGACTTAACATTTGAGAGAGAATAAAATTTAGATAGTTTTTCTCTAAAAATTTTAAGGTATTGTCTCTCTCTATAAAACTTAAAGCTTGAGATAGTTTCTCTCGCTGAAAATTTTTAGGTACTCTTTTTCTTTAAGAATTTTCAGGTATGTTCTCTTTATAAAACTTAAAATTTGAGATCTCACTGAAAAGTTTTAGGTACTCTCTCTTTAAGAAATTTCAGGTATGTTTTCTTTATAAAACTTAAAATTTGAGATAGTTTCTCTCTATAAATTTGATGTAGTTTCTCTCACTAAAACTTAAAATTTGAGATAATCTCTTTCTATAAATTTGAGATAGTTTCTCCCACTAAAACTTAAAATTTGAGACAGTTTCTCTCTCTAAATATTTTGATATAGTTTCTCTCTAAAAATTTTCAAGTACTTTCTGTCTGTAAATTTTAGAATTTGAGATAGTTTCTCTCTCTAAAAATTTTGAGATAGTTTCTCTCTTTAAAACGTTTTTAGGTACTTCTCTCTCTAAAATTGGATATAGTTTCTCTCTCAAAATTTTAAGATACTTTCTCACTCTAAAACTTAATTTGAAATAATTTCTCTGTAGAAACATTTTGAGATAGTTTCTCCCTATAAAACGTTTTTAGGTAGCTTCTCTCTCTAAAATTAGATATTGTTCCTCTCTCTAAAATTTTAAGATACTTTCTCTCTCTAAAACTTAAAATGTGAAATAGTTTCTCTCTCTAATTCGTGGGGATGTTTTGGTGGAATTAATTGTATTTTATAAAGTGGGCATCTCCATAACAAGGAAATCTAGCTGGAAATCAATTTCGGAGGGTAAAGGCAATAATATAGATTTCTTTATTTTTGGCTTGAATTGAGGACAATAATTTATGGCGGAAATACTTTTCGGTCCCAAAATTTTGATCCTAACGCCAAAAATGTGTACTTTTCATTCCCAAAATTTTGATCCTAACACCAAAAATGTGCCATTTCCACTTAAAAACATTTCTGAAAATGCATTTCCAAGTATCCCAACGGCCCCTTAGAGAAAAAGGGGCCATATTGTAGGAGCATATAAGTATCCTTACCAAGCGTTTCTCACCTAATAACAAATGAGTATTGTTTGTTTTTGAAGTTTTTTCTTTGCTCAGGTAGTTTTGTGATTCACAAATTAATTGGAAAACCAAGTTGAGATTCTGATTCTCCTCCTCCGCCATGGTCCTGCATAATACCCCATCAATTCTTAACATACCAACTTTGAATTCTGCAAGTTAAGGAAATTTCATCTGAACTCTTTGTTTACCTTTAGGCTTTGGCTTCTCATCCATGTCACCCTAGAACATTCCGACAATACTTAGGGACTGCATCCTTATTGAGAGAATCAAAACCATGGTATATTTTGGGCTCACAGTTGACATTCTCAAAAAAACCATGGTAATATCTTGGGCTCTTGGAAAGGAAGAACTTATGGGGTTCTCTGCCAGAGACCTCATCCTAACCTTTCAAAAATTCAGTAGGCTTCCATGCCTTTGCAGTTATACCTCAACAAATGAAGGCTGACATGCCTTTTTTTTCTAAAAAAAAAAGTTAACCTCATATGCCTTAAAAAAAGGTTTTTATTTTTATTTTGATTTTTTATTTTTTTATAAGTGATCCAATGTGCTGGTTTTCTAAAATGTCTGCGATGAGCATTTTAATATAAAAAATACCAATTGGAGGCTTGGTAATTTCAAATACTCAATATTGACATTTGTAGTTATATGAATCACATAGGCATATGTAATATTTTATCATTGTTTCAGCCATATATATTTATTTTTTTTCATTTTGATGAAACACTCCAAACTCTACTTTTATGGTGGCAGTTTAGTCATCTCATTCATTTACACTTTTTGGATAAAAGTTGAAGAGTTGGCATTATATAGCAGTTGTTCCTCTCAGTGTTTTAAAATGTGGGATGCGGTCTCGAGGCGGTCCGGGGGCTGATGCAGCAGTGCGGTCTAGTGCGGGTGTATCACCCTGATGATTTTGATAAATTTAAAATAATTCTAAAAAATCTCAAAATATTGGTTAATGCATGGGAAAAATATGGAGGCGATTTATGTAGTCGTAAGTATTTAATTTATTTATTAACTGCAATAGTATCAGCTATCGGAGATTCTATATCCACTATCCGCTGATAGATTATGTAAGACATTAGAAACTAGAAACTAGAAACTTGAAACTAACTTTATAGAAGACAATAGAACTTAGAAGACATCATATTATCATAATTCATAAACAAAAACCATAATCACAAATTTGCAACTACAAACTTTAAAGTTACAAACTAAAAGTTGATGAAGAGTTCAAGAGTCAAGACTACGAATCATCATTTCTCAAGTCTCAATCTCAAATCTCAATCAGACAAGTTATATAGGGAGTCTCCATGTGCATCTCTAACATCTGAGCGCGAGGAATCGTCATCAGCGGCTTCCACGTATTCTTCTTCATCCTTGGTCTCTTCTTAGTGGGCCTCCTCCTCCTCCTCGACCTCTGGAACTAATATGCAATTAGTCCTAACTTTTCTCTTTTGTATCCTAGTGTGAGGTTGTACTTCATTGGCCCTTGTGGCTAGCTCGACACATACCAAGTAAGATCTTAACCCTCAAACACATGCTCTGCTCATGGATCCATGGTCCACTCACTTGTGCCGTCACTATCAAGCTCATACAATCGAATTGGGTTGAGATTCATGCGCTTTTGATACCTCTCCCTAAGCTGCTGGTTATATTGCACATAAACCAAATCATTCAACTTCTTCTGCTCCAACTTATTTCTTTTTTTGGTATGGAGTTGTGGTGTAAAATAAGGACACAAGCAAAAGGAACAAATGATATTTTCTTGTTTCTACTTTCTACTCATCTTAGATTTTAGAAAATTGAAATTTGAAATCCAAGAAATAAGGATTAAGGACTTACATGCTCAAATGCACTCCAATTACATTCCCAACCCG